GCAAACCCCACTTTTGCTCCTCATGTTTGTGATGATGTGAAGCAGGATTCGAAAAGGGCAAGAAACCTGAAGTAACAAAGAAGAAGAAGAAGTGGTGCCAAAAGATGAAAAATCTCTACTTTCCCCGCAACAAGGACAAAGGCAAGGAGAAAACAATTGGCTACGAAGGCCATCCTTCAGAAATGGTAGTCCAAGGCGACAAACCTCGCTAATCAACTCTCGGTGGCAAATCCACTCTCGGTGGCCTCATGTTCCAAAGCATGAAGATTCTTAACGTCTAGCTAAAGACGTAAAACAAGTGCTTGTTGGGAGGCAACCCAACGTAGGTTTGCATTTATTTTCCTTATTATTCTCTTTTGTGTGTGTGTTAGAATCAAGTGTTTGAGTTTTGGATGATCCCCTTGACCATGGTTGGTATTTTTGATAGATATATGTGTTGTATTGGAGTTTGGAGCGCGGTTGAATCGATCAATTTTGAAATTGTAACCCCTCGATCTTTGGGTTCACGTTCGACCAAAATACGTGAACGGTTCGGTTACGATTATGTACAAAAGTTTGCACCCGTGGATTAGGAATAATAATAATAACTATTATTATTTTAATATATATATATATATATAGGGAATAAGAAAACGCTATCCAGAACTTGAATTGATTGATCTTTTGGACATGATACTATACTCTAACCCTTAAAGATCAAAATCTAGGTCTTAATTCTCTAAATATTATACCCCAACATCAATTTAATTAGAAACAATAATCGACGGTTATGATTCGTCCAAATATAGGCAAAAAAAATCAATGCACCATCTTAGGTTTTATAGTTTATGATTTAGATAATTAGGACCTAGGGTTCACTCATTAAGGGTTAGGGTATAGTATGATGCCAAAAATCCTGCTAATTCGAGGTATGGATAGCGTTTTCGTACTTAAGGTATGTGGTACCCCGGATTTCACCCAGGGTACCGTAGAAGGCACTATATATATATATATATATGGATACGACTCGTACGCTCCTAACGCATAGCATGCTCCCAGATCTCAGATCGTTGATCTAATCTAACGGTTAATATTAATTATATATTTAATAATAATTATGATTACAAAATACACCCTTCAAATAATTATACGTGCTATGAAGTCCCAAACAATAATTACCATCATGTTTGCTCGTATGATACTTTATTTTGTAGAGTTCTTTTATTCAACCCCCAGAATTTATATAATTGATAAAAAAAATTCTCCATTAAAATTTGGCTGGAATGGTTTATGAATCAAAACTTCATTGTCATCATCCATCAAAGGTCATCGTCATCATCAAAGAAACCCCAATTACTACCTACCCTTAAACCCAGTGGCGGATCCATGGCTGGGCCAACCCAGGCCCCGGCCCAGCCCTCCTTCGGATCCAGAGTTAGTTTAGTGCTTATAAAATTTTTCGATTTAGGTATTTGGTCCAGTGTTATTTAAAATTCTGTCTAGTTTTATATGATAATAGGATTTTGTGTAAGTAGGAAAATGGTTCAGATGAACATATCCAAACCATTACTCTAAATTTATACTAAATTTTCTATAGCTCCAATGATTTTATTTGAAAAATGACATGAAAACCTAAAAGTGTAAAGTTTCATTAAAATAAAATAAAAAAATCTAAACTAAAGCACACCCTTCCTTGGAAAATTCAAAAAATTTCCCATTCCCCCAAAACAAAACAAGACGAGGAGACGAGCAGACCCAAAATGGATTGCCTCAATTGAGTGGGGCACTAGATTCTAACCGTTCTTTCTGGTGTTTTGATGAAGAAAATATTTACAAACTTGCTCAAGAGTTTAGCCTCGAGACTTTGAAGGCTATGAGATGCATTCTTTGGAGAATGCACTACTGATGTGAGGAGGATGAAGTTTCTTCTCTAGCAAAATTATTAGAGAAGTTGGAGGAAATAGGGATGGACACATGGTACAAATTGATTTGTCGGTTGATTTGTCTAGTGTTGACCTAGCCGTTCAAGAACTACCATGAAGAGAATATTTTCAGCAATAGAACATGAACATTGATTTGTGCAACAAAATGAGGGATGAATTTCTCGTTGATTACTTAGCTATTTTCTTTGAAAAAGAGTATATTATCAGTATGGACGGAGATTATATTATTGATGAATTTGCTAAATTAAAAGACCTTGTACAATTGGCGTTGTAATGAAAACTATATTATTATATATTTTTGTTTATGGTATCTAATATTTTATTCAAATACGACCCAGTGCTCTCTTATGTCCTGGATCCGCCGCTGCTTAAACCCATAGCTTAATTCTAAAATATCTCGATAAACACATGCTGACTGAATGCTCCGGCTTGGAGTTTGGAATTCCAGGGGGACGCGCATGAGTTGGAGCTGACCTCCATCAATGCCAAGCAGAGGCTGCTGGTGTATTCGCTGCTGCGGTTGCAGCTATGGCACCCGAGCTCTGGCGGAGAGGGGGTTCAGTTGGTAAGGATTTAATTACGAGCCTAGGGTAGAATTCAATCGTAGCGGCAGTGGTATTTGACTGGAAAGGGAAGAGGATTGATCCGTCGATTGTTCTGAAGCTTGTAAGGAGGAGGGGGATTTCACTTGGATGTCGATCTCTACGGAACGTGGGGCTGCTGGAGAAGAGAGACAGTATCGGGATTACAGTGGTGATGACGACTAGGATGGTAATGTGGGGTTACCGGAGAAGAGAATCGGTGATTGGATAAGCGTGTACCGAACTGCTACCCTTTTGTTGACGAGTGACGAATCAGAATTAGTTGATGGTGTATGACGATGAATAAGCTTTGGAAATTAACAATGACATAGGCTGAAGCTCGCGTCTCGTCAGCGGAATTATCCTCACCGGAGTTTAGAAACAGAATTGAGAAACTTCAGATGCAGAGAGAGATGGTGGGGAAGAACAAGAGTCATGACAAACGACGGCGTTGCATAACAGAGGCCTTTGGGTGTGTTCTCGCCGAAACCGCAGAACGATAGAGTTTCTGTATAACAGACATATATACAGTAGAGCTGTAACGTAGCTGTCCGACCGGGGAAAATATATATTAGGCTGGTACAAAGATATACAACTCGAAGCTTCGAACCACTAACCTAGTCTTGCAAAAGACAACGCATTTACCATCCTGGTTGGACTAGTCTTTTTCATTTGACGCGCTTACACCTTTAATTATAACAATTAATGGTTTATCTTAATTAAGGCTAAAACTAAAACTAAAACTTTGTCTTAGACCCTCAGCATCTCCCATTATTTTATATATGTGATCTACCATTTGGATAGATAATTTTCATTGATGGAATATATGAAGAATGATCTTCAAAACCTAATGAACGAGAATGGTTAAATGACGTGTTTGTGTCATATATTTAATAAGATATGAGTGCTAGTTTGGACATGGAATTTATTTTAAAATGTTGCCAGAATATAAAATCTCGTGATTGTTTGTTGTAAGTGTTGTATGTCAAACTATTATTCTGTAATTGTTTCACGTTGACTTTTAATTTAATTTAGAGTATACTTCAATATTTTGAAGATTCGGGACCTTTAGTTATTATCTTTTGAAAATATGAATATTATGGTTTGGGTTTATAGAATTAGGGGTTCAGGTGCAACCATTAAAATTAAAGTATAGTATCGTGCTACAAACTCCAGTTGATTAATGATCTAAATAGCAAAACTCGATGGACATTCATATTTTCTTGTGAAATGAGAAACCTTAACCATGAAAAATCTCAAATATTGGGAATTGTTGCTTTGTATCGTTTATAACATATGTACAGACAAAATTAATATTAAGTGATATGGTATAAAACGATATGAATAAAGAAGTTGATTGCCACAAATACTTATAGAAAATTAGTGTTGTAGATTACGTAAAATTCAGGTTAAATGTAATGTCATTTATAGTTGTTAATCATTGTATTGGTTATAGCCAACAAAGGTTTTTCACGGGCTTCATTATCCGCTTGATTAGATATATGGCAGTCACATGCTCTGCATGATCAATTCTCATAGTTATCCCACGTGTAGACGAGTCATATTCGATGGGTTGACTTCTGGTTGACTTCTACCTACTTGAATCAAGGTCGCATAGGAAATAATCATATTAACAACTACACAAGCTGAAAGTACTGATACCAGGTCCACAATCGGCCGATTCTTAGAGCAGATTATCGTCATCGGCTGAAACATCGCTCTAGGGATTGTAAGCAAACAAACCCACAAACCCACCCAAGGGTAAAGCCCTAAGCGCGTAATTGGTACTCACTACAACAAAAACCATATATATCGGCTAATTATTGAGGCAAATATTGTATTTGCCTCTAAAAGAATACCATATGCAAATATATAATTTGCCTCAATAGATATAATTATGTGCCTCTAAAAATATTAGATATACTACAAATAAATAATTAGCCTCTATAGCTATTGTCTTTTCCACCGCCAAATGCTTTATAATGACTAATAATTTTTTATTTGCCTCAATAGATTCTTAATGTTGGTCGCTTTAGCTATTGCATTTCAAATATTCATATTCCACTTTAAATAAGTTATCAATTCACACCAAGATTGTAATAACTCAATCTTATTATTATTATAAATAACTATATAAATGTATACCATTAGAAACAATGTTGGGTTACACGTGTTCTTGTTTAAATAGAAGACTAACAGTGATTAAAAAAAAGACTACAAGAGTAACATAATTAGAAAAAGGTAATGGTGGGTCATCTAATTCCCATGTTTATGTCCAAAACAAAAGGCTAATTTGTGTTTCTCCAAAACGACATGTTTTGCTTCCATTGGGGGAAAAGCAATGTTGTCAGAACCGAACCGGAGCATGACCCGGTAATGCTAACGGCTCGCACTTTAACGGTCCAACCGACATTAGACCGTTTAAAAACTGTTAGAGAACCGGTATCTAATAAACGTTATCAGTATAAATAGTGGACATTTCTTAATCAGAGCTCATCTCTTTCCTTCGAAATTGTGAAATGGAAATAAGGATTCAATTTGAGAGCCCGACGTTTTTGGTTTATTTCAATTTTCAATTTTCTACAATTTTTTTAATTAAATTTAGTGGCTGAATGACAAAAACCGGACAAGCGGCTCGATCGGCTCGAACGATTAACCGCCTCGGCCGCTCGCCAACCGCTACATAAAACCGGAGCGGCTTTTAGACTGTTCCGAGCCGGTTTTGTGACCGGGTGGCGGTTTTACTGGTCGGGCCGAGCCGCTCGGTTCGGCTTTAATAACACTGGGGAAAAGAATAAGCAATTCAACCAAAAGCAAAAGCGGCAGCGTGTGGCTGGTAGCCTGTCCGACTCCCTTTCCCAATCCCTAATTTTCGAACCAAAACAATCCCTTCCCATCATCATTTTCTTCTCCCAAGTTCCAACTACCGCTCCATCAGCAGCAGCCTCCAAACCATCCGCTTGCTCGACACCTTCCTTTCTCGCCGGCGAATTGCATCAGCAGCCATCAGGTACCTGCTACTTCTTTGTTCAACAGTGGCTTCTTTCGTTTCTCGTTAGTTTTACTTTAAATGTGTGGAGCTAGGGAGAAATTTATGCTTGCTCATTTGATTCGTGGAATGCAAATGAGTGACATGGTTGTTGAATTGATTCGATTTGTTTTTAGGTGTTCAAGATGGATAAAAGTTGGATGAATAAACAAGAACTAGTGATGAATACAGACACGGATTAAATCATTTTCTTGCACATGCATTTGCTTTGCCATGTTCTCGTGATGGTAAAATTCTATGTCCATGCAAGAATTGTTCGAACTGAGGCTCGTAAAATCTTTGAGTTACTGGAAGCAAATGAAACTGAATTATATCCTGGTTGTACAAGCCATTCCAATCTTTCTTTCATCATTAAGTTATTTCACCTGAAGTGTCTTGGAAACTGGTCTGTCAAATCATTCAGTATGTTATTACAACTACTAAGACAAGTACTTCTAGAGGGCGACACTTTACCTGAATCTTATTATGAGGTCCAGAAGTTGATATCAAACTTAGGTTTGACCTATGAAGTTATCGAGGCTTACCGTAACGATTGCATGTTGTTTTGGAAAAACCATTAAAATGAGTCAGAGTGTCTTGTGTGTGGAGCTGATAGATGGAAAAATCAACCCAGTGAAGTTGTTGGATCATCAAAGAAAAAGCTGAAGAACATTCCTTATAAGAAGCTTTGGTATTTTTCAATAGGAAAGAGGCTGCGGAGATTGTTTTTGTCATCTAAAACAGCTTCTTCTATGCGTTGGCATAAAGAAGGACGTACAAATGATGGAAACTTAAGGCATCCTGCAGATTCTCCGGCATGGAAAACTTTTGACTTTAGACATGGAGAGTTTGCTTCAGATCCTCGTAATGTTAGATTGGGTTTATCTACAGATGGTTTCAATCCATTTAGGTCAATGAGTTCATCTCACAACACATGGCCAGTTGTCTTAATCCCTTATAACCTTCCTCCTTGGTTATACATGAAACAATCGTACATGTTTTTGTCGCTACTCGTTCCTGGACCTACGTCTCCTGGAAATGACATTGATGTATATTTGCAGCCTTTGATTGATGAGTTACTGGATGAGCTGCAAGGCAAGCAAGTCAAATTTGGAAAGTTGAGCCAAAGCGATCCTCTACCGTATGGCTGGAAGAAACAGAGTGTGTTCTTTGACCAACCATATTGGAAGATAACATCTTGAGACATAACTTGGATGTGATGCATATTGAAAAGAATGTTTGTGATAGCATTCTTTTTACATTACTAAATGTGAAAGGGAGGACGAAGGACACTGTTAACTCCCGAAAGGACATGCAGTTACTAAGGATAAGAAAGGAGTTACACCTGAAAATAGATGGTTCTGGTAGGGTATACATGCCTGATGCAACTTTCACCCTCTATAAAAAAGAGAAGCAAAGATTGTGTAAGGTATTAAAGAGTGTTAAAGTTCCTGATGGGTATGCCGCCAATATATCAAGGTGTGTGAACTGGAAGGAAAGAAAAATCTCTCTTCTGAAAAGCCATGATAGCCATATCCTAATGCAGCAAATTCTTCCTTTGGCCATTAGAAGGATATTACCTAAAGAAGTCCGCAAGCGTTTGATACAATTAAGCTTGTTCTTCAGGGAATTATGTTCAAAGGTTGGTCGTGTGGAGAACTTGAATCGTTTAGAAGAGAAGATGGCTTTAACTCTGTGTCATTTAGAAAGAATATTTCCACCATCATTTTTTGACATAATGGGTCATTTAACTGCGCATTTGGTGAATGAGACCAAGCTTGGTGGGCCGGTACAAGCACGATGGATGTATCCAGTTGAGCGGTATGTATTGTTCTTATTGATTATTCAACGAGGTTTGCTTAAGAGTTATAATTATTTTGGTACATTTCTTTCCCTCTTGATTCTGTATGTTTTATTGTTTTAGGTACCTATCTAAATTAAAGTCATATGTTGGTAACAAAGCTCATCCAGAAGGCTCAATAGCAAATGGATATTTAGCTTAGGAGTCCCGAACATTTTGTTCAAGGTATTTACAAGGAACGAAGACACGGTTTAATCGCCCTCCGAGGAATGATGATAACTCCAATGAAGAAATATCAACGATATTTCCAAAGATGGGTCGTCCGATAGGAAGTGGGAACATTGTTACTTTGGATAATGACACTTTAGCCAAGGCACATCAATATGTGCTTGCTAATTGCAGTGACGTGGCCCCTTACATTGAGTAAGACATCTATCTATCATGTTTTTTTTATTATCCTTTGGTTTAAATAATTTGATACTAATATTTATATTGTTGAACAGCCAACATCTTTCATTGTTGAGAAGCCAATATCCACGTAAGTCACCGCATGTCATTCAAGTCCTTCATAATTCAAAGTTATGCCAGTGCTCGAGACAGGAATCCAATATACAGTGAGGTAAGTTATTATGGAGTACTTCGGGAGATATTGGAATTGGATCATTGGGTTGGTAAGAAAGTGGTGTTGTTCAAGTGTGATTGGGTGTCAAGTGGCAGAGGTTTGAAACAAGATGACTTAGGTTTCATCTTGGTTAATTTTGCGCAACGATTGAGGAATAAAGAGCCTTTCGTGATGGCTTCTCAGGCCCAACAAGTATTTTATGTCCAAGATCCCATCGATCAGGACTGGCAGGTGGTTATCAAAACAGTTTCGAGAGATTTCTACGATATGGATGAAGAAGTTGGTGATGTTGATACTCATTTACAAAGTGAGATATGCAACGACAGTGGTGTGATATTTGATGACATTCCAAATGATGAAGCTGTTGAATGGATAAGAGCCAGTAGAAATGGAGAGTTAATTGACGATCCTACAGAGTTAGTTGGAATTGAATTAGTAGAACATCAAAATGAAGCTACACAGGAAGAAGATAATGACAACGAGGTCGAAGAGGATATGACTACCACTAATAATCAGGATGCATACCACTATTGATGTGCACCTAATTCTGAAATCCTACAATTTACTTGTATTGCTTATATAACTGGTACGTACTTCTCCTTTTGGTGATGAGCTATGAAGTTTATATTATCATCATGGTACGTTCTATAACTATTGATGTTGTTTCTCCCAATATTTGAAGACTGGAACATATAGATTTAATGGTTAGATTATGCGGAAGTAATTGTGGATTTGTGGAAGTTTTTCGTCAAAGTTGTAGTTGCTCCATTTTGCCGCCTGTGTAATTAGTCTTGGCGGAATTTTTTAAATGAATAGTTGGGCCGCCTGTGTAATTAGTCTCGGCGTCATTTTATAAATGAAAAAGTTGGGCCTAAAAGTTAAAACATATAATTAGTCGGGGTTCTAAAAATTAAAGCGGGAAGTGGAAGGGTTTCCGAAGCGGAAATGGGGGAATTTTAACCCTATTATATGTGGCTGGATGAACATACATAAACCTAATGTAGAGTCTTAAGTCGACAGCAGGAAGGTGTAGAGAATCAGAATTCCACCTGTAGGAGATGTCTCGTTCAAAGTCCAGAACAGGCCGAACTGTGATTTCAAGGTCTAGAAATGCTCCGCCTGATTCACATCAGAACACTGCTGATGTATCTAGGAGTTTATCTGCAAATCCAAATCTTAACAGAAACAATCATGACACTGTGACTTCAGGTAAGTTAGATTTGATTACCTGGAATAGTTGTTTCGTCGGATCAAATTTCTGACATATTCTGTATTTTTTTATTAGATGCGTCAAGAGTGCAAAGGAAGAGGAAAAGAGGTACTACTATGTGCAAGGAAGTCTGGAGTTTGGTACCCAGAGAGAAAATTCATATTACAATCAATGCTTATGGGCAACCAGTTGGTCGATATGCAAAAAAGTTAAGCTATTTTTTGGGAACCATAGCAAGAAACGGAGCATTTGCTCCTCTATTCAGTATGCTGATTGGAGGCTTATGCCAGATCATTACAAGACGAAAATGTGGGACTTAGTACAGGTACATTCCATGCTGAATACTCTTTATGTGTAGCAAATTGTTTTAGTTTGGCAGTTTGGGTATCTTAACAAGGAATGTTGTTTATCCATCTTGAGTGATTTGTTTTTATATTTAGGAAAAGTTTGACATTGATCCACCTGCTGAATTGTGGGTAATGAATTCTTTGAGCAAAAAGTGGAAGGATTTCAAGTGTGTCGTCAAAAGAAGTTGGTTCAAGACAAATATACGTGATCATAGAGTATTGAATGATGATTGGCAATGGTTGTTACAGTTCTGGAGCACCGAGAAAGCTAAGGTATGTCTTACGTTTATTTCCTAGATGTCCTTATTAAAAGTAGTCATGTATGTAACTTAAATTGTCTAATCATATAGAAGAGAAACCGTGACCATTGACGAGATCTTGGATGAGACAAATCAGGTAAATCTAATAAGAAAAATGAATCACCAATTCATTTATGTTAATGTTAGTTCGTTATGTTCATTTATTTCAATACTTCTATAATGTTTCAGAGAATAAACAACGAATGAGACTATTAGTCTTGAAACTAAGACTTGCTGGGTTCTGAAGTTTGTTAATTATCATCTCATTAGAATATGGGCTGTTTAGTTTATTAGTGATAATGGGATTTGTTGTTTCCAATGAAAGGGTCCTTTATTTGGTTGGCTTTGTTTGTCGGTCTTGTTGGCATTTTAGTTGTTAACTTTCAGCTTAGGGTGGTAGCAGTTTCATAATGGTAGCAGTTCTTAATAATCTGTTTGAGATACAGGAGAATGAAGATCATGATAATGAAGATGGAATGAGTCAAATGGGATCGCAAAGTGAAGAAAACTTCAAGCAAAGTAGCGAAGATGGAATGAGCCCAACGAGATCACATAGACAAGAAGATGACTTAGGAACGGGTCCACTGCTTTCCATGTTGCAACACTCATCTCCAGCTAGAGATGAAAGGCGGGAAAATGATGTAAGTTTAAGTTTAGCTTAGTTCTTTGATTAGTAAATCATTTTGATCCAATTACTCATTGTGTATTTTTATTGATGAATGCATCAGGCAATACCTCATGAGATGATTCAAACTTTTCTGCCTTTTTATAATGCCATGTCTTCTAATGCAGCCTCTGCTGCTGGGGCGCAAATGGTATGCTTTTGTAAGGTGTAAACAATTATGAGAATTACCTCCATCATTATGAACATTACTTTGTTACAAATTCAGGTACAAGATAAGACATTTTCATTCTTGGACTACATGATGAATTCTTATCAGAATGTCAATTCCTTTAGCCAGCCACAGGTTTGTTATATTTACATACATATATTTAGGAAAAAGTTTTAAGTTCTGAATTCGATAGGTGAAGTTTACCTTTGCGTGTATCTTTTCATAAACAATATAGGTTAATGAAACATCAAATGCCTCAGCTAGATTGCAAAGTTCTCAACAAAATTCTTCGACTGCAATAGTTGATCAAGCATCTCAAGTAAGGATTTTTTTGTATCATTGATTGATAGACTTTATTCAGTCTTGTCAAAATTGTTATAATCATAACAAATAACTAACTGTTTTGAACTGCAGGGACTACAATATGTTAAATTGAAGAGTTTAGAAGATCCTAACGTTGATGTAGCTTATGTATGTTTGATATCTAAAGATCCAAAGAGATGTGTAGGCGGACATGAATTGGGTCGTGGGTTTTATGAAGTATATGTCCAAATTCTGATTAAGTTTGATGAACCCTTAATACGACCATATGCAAGCTATCATTCCATAGAAGATGCGATAGGGATGAGTATTGCTTGGCCATCTTCTTTGGTAAGTAAACTATAACCCTTGGGTTATTCTCTTAGTTTGTTGTATGCTACGTTCTAACATAAAAAAAAAATTATTTCAACAGGTGAAACTCACACATGGACCATCTTAAAGACACTCCTTTGGATTATTAGAGAGATTGTCTAGAGTTCAATTTTCGTAGACCTTTATTGTTGTCCTTTCATTATAAGAGAGACCCGCCAGTTAAACTTTTCCATTGTTACGATTGATTGAGAAATCATGGCTTTAGTTATTATATAGAATTCCATATTTATTTTATAGTCAGAATTATAAATTTCAAGCATTTAAATTATTCTTCACTATAAATTGTAACATTTTATTTTACATCTAAAATATAAATCCAATTCGTTGCATTTAAAGATAATTATAGAGGCACAAAGTTATTCCTCAAAAATATTATTCAAAGGCACGTGTATTAGCCTCTATTCTTTAATTTTACAAGCTATCTGCATCTAAAGGAAATATCAGAGGTAGATAATCATGCCTTGTAAATAAAAATTAAGATGAATTGAAAAATGAACTAAAATTAAATGAATATAAAATGTACAACGTGTTTGAAAATTTTATTGTGATAAATGTGACTTAAAATTAAGATGAATTAAAAAAAAGTATCAATGAAGGATTTTTTTTAACCGAATTGATGAAAGAAAATTAAGATGAAATAAACAAAATGTTCTCCCTAATAAATAACATTATGGGGACTCTTGAAAATTTGGGAACATTCATATAAATAAAAGTTGGTTTACCAAAACGTTACACACCTCCTACATTTTCTTCCCACGTCCATATTTCTAAAATTTCACCAACCCAAAGTTTTGGTTCCAAGTCCGAAAATTTTGGCTCCAGCAAATTCTAATGTTTTGGGTTCCTCCTGCTATTGCTTTAACACTATTAGGTTTCACTGCGTTGCGAATAAAAAAAAGTCCTCTAAGTCTCTATTCGTTCCTATCTCTCCTCTTCGTAGTCAGAATCCCTTCGTTCTTCCACTGTCAATCCTTCATTCTCTTCTTCCTTCTTTACCATGTTCCTTATGCCCCAAAGAGTACTCTAGGCCTGTAGGCTGCAGCTGAGGTATGTTTTTACACAAATCTCGTCCCTGTCTGTATTTAAACTCCTCCCTTTCTTTCTTTATTTGAGCCCAACAAGCGATCCTTTCTATATCTGTTTTAATCGCATGCAGCTGCAGCTACAAAGTAATTTAGCATAACTAGAATGAAGGAAGTGCGATTTTGGAGAGGGGTTAAATTTCTCACAACAGGGTTTTGTTTGGAATCAATTGTAATTGACAGAGTATCATTTCCAATTTGCACTCTAGGGTTCTGATTTAATTGTGTCATTTTGTACTCGGCTTGAAGAAATTATCACAATATCCTTGTTATAGAAGAACTAAAGAAAACCTAATGCATGTTTGATTTTTATTCAATTTTGGATGCGTTAGGATTCTAATACACTTTTTCTATTATGGGGTTTCAACTATGCAAAGGTAGCAGACTTAGGACCTTGCCGGCGGCAGAGAGGCCATCTATTATCGAGAGGAAAAAGAGGAAGTCAGCCAACCCCAACAAGTACTTCCAATGAAAATGGTGGCGTCGAGGAGAGGCAGAACTTTTCAGATGGTCTGATACAAGGAATCAGGTGATACTCTCTCAGTTCCCTTCTAGTTCTACACTGATCAACTAAGCTTGCTAAATTAGAGATTTAGGTTACTGAACTAGTTAATTTAGGGGGGTTTAATATGGTTTGCGATTCTGTTTATGGGTTGGTGTTTGGTTTGTATTAACTTGACTTTATGATTAATTTGTTCATTTTAGCAGGAAGTGTTGGCAGGATTTTCATGAATGACTGGAAGCTCTCAAAGTGGTTAATGATGCTTACTAAGATCTTTTGTTCAGTTTATGCCTCTGTGTAATTGTGATGGCTTTAAAGGGGGTTCTATTTTTGGTTTCTGAAGTAGCTAAGGGGTATATGATGCTTACAAAACCTAACCTACTCTCGTGTGCTGGAAAGTTATGACAACATATAGTTATGTTAAAGATGCTTTATATACTCTGAGGAAAAGGGTTTAGTTGTCTATTTTCTTGTGTGCGGTTTTTAAGACATTAAGTAATTTGTCGAGCTTGTGTAGATAATGGAAGGTGGGGTCTTGATTCTGTCACTTTATACTATTAGGGTCTAGGAAGCAGCCTGGATGTGTGTTAATGGGATACAAAGGATGTTAAGAATCAAGTTCTAATTGTGTTCTTTTTTGTCTCCTTATAGAAGGCTTACTGAATGTTGGTCAGATTATAGGTGTAAGTGCCAAAACTACAATTTGGTGGTTGGTCAAGGTAAGTTTGTTGTCACTTTGGAGAACTTGAAATGTTGGGTCTTTTGTTTGTGAAGTGGTAGTTAGTTTGGAAAAATCAGTATTTGTCTAATTGCTCATAACGCCGTTTTAAACCAGAGTTCATAATTGGCTTAATTAGGAATTCTTTTGCTGTAAATTATAGGTAGAAAGCGTTGTTGCAATGATGTGTGTTTGACAATTTTGGGTAACAATTAGTTACAACAATTTTTCAATCGGATTATATCTAGACTGTAAGTAGTTATCAATTAGTTACAACAATTTTTGGTAACAATTAGTTACAACAATTTTTCAATTGGGTCTTTTGTTTGTGAAGTGGTAGTTAGCTGCAAGTAGCTATCACCTCCGTTAGGCTGTAAATCTGCTTTGGTAACAATTTTTCAATCGGATTATATCTATATTTACATTAGTTTATACGTAATTTTTGAAATTTCCTACGACTTTATACGTAAGTTTCAAAATTCTCAGAGGGGTCGAGGCCCCCCGAGAACCTACATAGCTCCGCCCCTGCACCCACTCGTGAAAAGATTTGTTGGGATCATCATCATGAAACTTATAGTTCAATTATGGTGTGATCCTCATTTAGTCTTGTCTGCTCCTCTCCATGGTCATGCATTCATCCATTCATGTTCATCCTAGTTTCAACTCTATTTTAAAATAGCTAGATAACTAGAAAGCTACTGCTACATTAACAGAGCATAGATATTAGATGAAGATGTGATGCTGAAGCTAGGTAGTATGCTGAAAAAGACTGGATTCGAACTCTGTAATGCAGGGTATGTTTTTAAGGCCGGTTTCTACTGCTACAAATTCAATTGCTAATGGTTCACATCTTTCAATGCCATGGTATACTAGTCTCTCATTGATTAATTTAGTTTGAGCCCTCTTGATATAATCATTATAGAGATTAGGGGGTTTGGCAGCTTCTGAATTCACTTATATTATTGTTTGTTTACAATTGTTGGGTACTTTTGACAATCTTAAGCCTCAAACTTTTGCTTAATTCCTAGAGACCAACCAACCACTTTCTTATTTCTTTATGACTGAATCAATGCTTTGAATAGATAAATAAATTATGTTTATGTTTTGGTTTGGTTAAACAATTTAGCTTATTTGGTTAAGGTGGTTTGGTTTGGTTTTAACACTGCTAACCAATTAATCAATTAATGATACACCTAATATACAAAATTATTTATACTTCCATGCAACCAACAAAACCAAACTTTCGTGATTCCCTATTTTATTTCCTTTGTGCACAACAAACCAAAGCATTATGGGTCAAAAATTAAATCGGCCTACCTATTTACTAAACCAAAACATTTTGGACAACTACTAGACTTTAGGATTACGTACAATACCATGACCACCTCAAATTATGTATAGTTTAAGTGTTTTTTAGGAGAGCTTTAACTTCATGATCAGTGGTATTGGTATGTATTTAATATTTATGTTAAGGGTTTGTTGTAAGCTAACTATATCAGGTGCAGAGATGATGAATTATGTATTAACACGAATGATAATGATAATCATCAATGGTTAGACTTATTATTATTTTACTTATATATAATGATAGTTTATGATAGTAATAACACATGTTTATGTTTATTCATTAACATGATAATTGTTTTCATGTAATGTTATGTTATTTGACGAACAAGGGATTGGTCTAGTGGTAATACCACTAGCCATGAACCTGGAGGTCCCAGGTTCGAGTCCCTTCAGTAGTACCTAATAACAAAAAAGTAACCTATATCACCCTTATCTAAAAAAAATGTTATGTTATTTGGTTAATTCGATTATCCGATTAACCAAACCAATTAAACCTTGGTTCGATTAATTTGGTTTTCGTGTTAATTTGGACGGTTTGGTTAAGACATTTTATTCCATGGTTAATGAAATTTAGACTTAATTGGTTTGGTTATTATCACGGTAACCATTTGAACACCCCTAGTGTGAGGGACATAGGGGTGGCTTACTATTTTTGACATGGATCGACACTTTGACGCTCAATTTGAATTCTGAGGTAAGCCTGGTCTCCCTTGACTTGAGTGTTTGTGATTGATACGTTGTAACTGCAATTTTGCAGTTTGCTAGTGTTTTCTGTTTATGATGGCAAAGCCAAATTTTGTATATACGGACAACTGTTTTTACCTTTTAGAAGCCAAATAGTAGTGTGACGGACAGAGGGGTGGCTTTGGATTTTTGACATGGATCGACACTTTGACGCTCAAACTGAATTCTGAGAGCTTGGTTTCCCTTGACTTGAGTGTTTGTGATTGATATGCTGTAACTGCAATTTTGCTGTTTGCTGGTGTTTTCTGTGTATGTTGGCAAAACCAAATTTTCTATATACTGACTACTGTTTTTAGCAATTAGAATTTGGTATATCTATAAAAAGGTTGGCAAAATGAGGCTGAGAATTAAGGAACCACATCATCAACTCAAGAATTTTCCCGTAACAACGCGTGCCTCCACCTTAAGTAGGCGGTGCCGCGGTGGGGTGCCTAACACATAATCGCGCACAATTGATAAATTAACCAATATTACGTAAAGTAATTGCATAAACTAAAAGAATTACGCCTGAAATGTTACCCACTTTACACTCGCCTTACTATCAATCCGATTGACTTGATTCAATTACTCGTTGATACGGCCCCAAGATGAACGATTCGCCTCACCAACCACCATTCCTCGTAGGGTATCATCCATAAGAAATTACATCATTACGTAATAAACAACCCCAAACAACACTATGTAAAAGGCTTGCAACAACATTCGACTCTCCCATCTCTTCCATTCCAAATGCCCCATGTGTTATATATATATATATATGGTGACTACTTTGGTGCACTCACAAAAATGAGTGCGTTCAATGCACCAAACTCAAAAACTAGTCTTAAGGTGTCGGATTTTGAATTATAATTTGTAGAATTAGTGTAATATGATGATATAACATATGATAACAACTAATTAGCGGATTACCCTAAGCCCTAGACCTCCAATTTTGAGTTCTATCCCTAAACCCCGAATTGTAAACCCTAACCCTAAATCTCTAAACTTTAAATCCTACAAATCAAAGTAAATCTTCAATGGTTTTTGTGCAAATTCATGTGTGTTATTGTTCATCACATCATAAGTGACGATTGACATCATTTTGACATAAATCGCATGTTTAAAATGATGGTTATGAAGCGAGTGCACTGAATGCACCCAAAAAAGTGAGTGCACCGAAGACGCCACCACATATATATATATATATTTACTAATTGAAATGGACACCCCCTCCTTTACGTGATTCATCCACCAATCTCAAGCTAACAATCTAACTCTCTGTATTAGGACAACCTCATAATATAATTTCTATTTTCATAACTAATCCATCAAATAGTTAAAAGGTTTGTCCCCGGTCTGTATTAGAACAACCTCATGTTCTAATTGCTATTCTCATAACTAATCCATCAAATAGTTAAAAGGTGCTCCAGACGCATAGCATGCTCCAGGTGCTCTACACCGTTGATTTAATCTAACGTCTGTTATTAATTCTAATTAAATTATTTATTAATTATGATTTTATAATAATTGATTGGTTCTATTACTTTTTAATATGTGCTCTTTAATCCCTATACAAAATTTTCGTATCTTTTCATATTATCATGCCTAATATTCTTCTATCTAATTAATTGTGCACCCAATTTTTGTGTGATTGTGTTTCCATCAAGTTACATTCAAACTATTCCTCAGTTGATATATGTAAAACACAGAAGTCAGAACCATTATGTCGTACAACTCAAAAAAACCCCTTTCCCATATCCCCTTCATTCTGACGGACGAACCCTATCCTCCTTTCACCATCGAATCAATTCTCCTACCAAATTGTCTTCAATAGCCGAGCTCTGGATTTTTCCGAGTGCCATCGCTATCTATTGCATAGTGAAAATCACATACTCGAGAGATGAGGGTAAGGGCAGATCGGGGGAAAACTCTATACTGGACTGGAAACACCTGCAGACAAAATCGATGGAGATGGCGGTGCGGAGATCAGACATCAGAAATTGCTCATGGGGAAGTTAAATTGGTAATCGCTATGTCGCTATCAATGATGATTTCGTCATTTTCACAAGCTCCATGACTCTCATCTTGCACGCCACCGCCGAAAGCCTGAGTCGATGCTTATGAGAATTAGTCGAACTTGTTGTCTAATTTTGACGAGTTCTGCAAAAGTGGAAGGGCTGGTGAAAAGATTTGATCGGGCTTGGATGTGACTGGAAGACTGAGGCCCAGGGAGCGATAACTGAAGGTGTCCACACATGGTCAGGTATGGATTAATAGTATTAATCTGTATATCCTTAAGCTGGTGATAATTCCATTCAGCAGCACTATCTGGCTCAATTTGCTTTGTCACTTAGTTGTAATAAGAAAATTTCCATGCTTTCTACCCAAAAAAAAAAAAAAAATTTCCAAGGTTTGAGTGGTGTTGATTATTTCGTCGTTGTATCATTGCAATTAAGGTGGAGCTTAAGTAGAGGATTCTGAACATATTATCACAAGCTTAAGTAATGCATCAATCTTTAATCTGTTAACGTGGAACAGGTTCATATCCTTTCTCTTTCTGGTTTAACCCCGCTAAAGAGCACCATGCTTAGACCCCTTGAAGAAAGTGTAGTTAAGTTGTTCTCGAAAGTTGCATTTCTTACATTCAGAAGTGAACTAGAGCAGGTTATTGGGTGCATAAAGAACACTCAATCTGAGGATGGAAACATACACACCTACAGTTTAAGTATGTTCAACAAACAGAAGGTTGTGGAGGTAAAATACAACCTTGAAACAAAGGATATGGAGTGCAGCTGTAAAAAATTTAACAGTGTTGGAATTCCCTGCACTCATATGCTATGTGTGTTGAAAGAAGAACGGGTGAAAAGTCTTCATGAGAAACTGGTACTTAAACGTTACTGAAAGAACCCAAAGTCAATAGACAGTATGCCACCACCACCTAAGTTGGGGGGATGATCATTCTTTCAACACCAGATATGGGTCACTCCAGTTCTTGGCTACACATATTTTCCTATTGGGGGCAGAGACTCCTCTATCTTTCCAGGTTGCTTGAGGGGGGTTGACAGCAGTGAGGGACAAGTTGGAAATGGTGAGAAAAACTCCAGCTGAAAGGGAATTATGGTAATACCTAAGGAGTTCGAAAGAGTCCTCAACCCCAAATAAGTGATGTTCAAAGGATGTAGAAAAGGAACGGCTAAAAAACAACAGAAGAAAAAGAAGAGGAAGTGTGGGAGATGCGGTAGAAGGGACGGTCATTATATTAAGACTTGTCCTGAACCCAAAGGCTACGTGCCGCCAGCTACACAATCTTCGTCTGATGAAGAGGATGACGACGATGATATGGATTTTGCTGACAATGATGGAGGTGATGATGAAGATGATGACGATGACCAAAGTGGTCGGCCCCAAAAGCTACTTGGTAAAACATATTTGAGTTCTTATCAAAATTAATAGTTCTTAAAAACTAAGTGTTGTTATAATGGTTATATCAGAAGCAGCGAACCAGCAACCACGATGCTGATGTAGAGCCTACGGAAAACACATCAAAGTTGCATAAGGTTATACAACACTTGCTTTCTAAATTATCTTCTATTTGGTAGAGGTAGCTATCAGTTTAAGAGTTAATTTCTACTCTTGTAATAGACTGGGCCACGTACTAGGAGTAGTACTATGACACATCAGCATCAAGGGAAATCCAATAAGCATACAAGTCCTAGTGTTGAGCCATCTACTCAATGTTCTGAACGCCAATCTGAGAGGATCCAACGGGTTTTTTTTTTGTTAAAATAATCTAATGCATCCTAATGTATATATTATATGAGAACCTTTGCTAAAAGTTACAGTTTCAATGTTCTTTTATCTTGTTTTTTATGTTTCAGAATAGGGGACAGGGCAAGAAGTTGAACAACATCCAGAGCAAGGAGTTAAAAAGAACTCAGTTTTTGTTATTTGTTCATTGAAATTGATGGAACAGAATCTTTTATCTTGGTTGATTTACAACAAGTGCACCTTTGACGGTTTATTTTTTGGATTGACGAACATAGAGAGTTGGAAATGAGTTCTTAGTTATTTAAGGACATGCCTCGTGCATTTTTTGCAAGGCTGCTTTGATTTAACTTTGTTGTCCTCTTCATCTTCTCTTTGAGGAAGTTGGCGGGCGGCCGGGCTACCATTGCTGCTTTGCCGTAGTTTCTCTTTCGTTTTCTCGCTCCTGCTGATCCTCTTGTGGATGGAGGGGTGATTAGCTCTGGCTGCAGCTAGCATAATGCTTCGGCCATGTCAAGACTCCTCTTCCATCTGCTTTGCTTTTAACTTTGTTGACTTCTTCATCTTCGTTTTGAGGTGTTTGAAAAGCTTGTCGATGAGCCTAGTAAAGGAATGCAAGACCTTTAGCAGCATCAATTACAGCCTTCATACGCAGGTTCCAAGTCAATGGCTGGAAATAAGAAGGAAAGAAAGAAAGCCTCAACATACAGATTAGGAAGGTCTCTAGTCTTATAGATTCAATCAAGGACGAAGTAACAACATCATTTGTTACTCCCCCACCAGTTCTCATATTAGATCAGACAGGGGCCCCAAATCCAATTAATGAATCTTGTCATCTAGAGAAAAGACAAAGAAACAAGAAGTTTATCATAATGAAAGAAGTGAGATGGGAAAGAAGAAGGAAAGTAAGAAAGCCTCAACTTCATTTGCACTCCTAACACATAATTCCAAGTTATGCTCATCAAGAGATAACTTCAAGCTTTGGACTTGAGCCCATGCCTGGTATTTGAAATCTTGAATCTCCCTAACATCCCTGCTGTCAATTATGAAAAATCACCACATTTCAACCAGATTCACACAAAAAAATCACCATATGAGCATTATGAAAAATTATAAGAACCTCTCCTAGCATACACTTAGTCGTCCAACATTAGGCTAAGAACATAACTTAATCTTAAAGGTTAAACTCTGCTACTGATCATTAGGCTAAGAACATGCCTTCTACTGATTTCACTCCATCATATTACAATCCAAGATAAAACGAGGGCAATCACTATTGAAGGAAAAGTAAACCACCTCAATTCATGTTCATGCTTAAGCTCTTCCATGAAATGATCAATATTTATGGTCTTCCCTTTTTCTCTGTCCTTTGACCTCTCCTCCTCCTCTGTTACATATATGGAACATACAACAACTGGTCATGAATGTAGCTTTAAATTAGAAAGAAATAAAGACAAACTTATGTGAGAGGTTACAAAGACAATAAAGTTCATTCAAGTAGTACCTCTGGATTCGAAATGGATGAACTACCAGTTGATGGCGGAATAATCCCATAGCGTGAAGGGGGTATTTGCTGGGTTGAGCCAAATGTTGAAAGCAGGTCATTATGATTTCTCATAGATTCCGCATTAGAGACCAATAACTCAATGGGCAAGGTCTTCGAATTCATGTGCTGCAAGAAGATGTCCAGAATCAAGATCAAATATTCCCAGACCGACCTCACCAAGACGAGCTTTCAAGCTTGAGCAACCAACACAAAAACAAGTGTCAACCTTCAGCTCATAAGAACATCAAGAGAAACAACATATAACAAAAGACAGAGAAGGTGCACGAATAGGTACACCTGTGTACCCAAACAAATTACAAGTCGTATCCATAAATCTAAAGAGAGAAAACTAGTTAATAGACACTCATGGAACAAGGAACCACAAGAAGAATACAGACAAGGCCACACCTTCGGCCACCGTCAAAGTGAACCAGCTTCGCAAACCCCAAATAGATTTTCCAGAAACACCAAATGGTTAATCAGCCCCATTTCCTCCTCCTCATCTGATTCGTAAGCCCCAAATCAACATGAAAACAAAACGAGATCAAAGAAACGAGGTCAGAAACCCAAAGTTTGGACGCAGTAATTGGGGAGTGTCTAGTCATGTCCTAATTTGAAAAGGAACTCAAAGAAACGAAAAGAAAAATTGCATATCGACTACCTGCAATCGTTTCTTAGGGGCCTTTTTAATCCGATGGAATGGGACCATAGCTGCCGCTCTTTCCAATCCAAATTTGTTTTGTATGCAGCTCGTGCCAAACAAAGACGAAATCAAAGAACCGAAAATAAAAACCAACAATTCGGGGAAGGAAAAGGATAAGGAAAAGCGAGATTACTATGGAACTCTTTATCTTCCAGTTGGAGCATCTCCGCCCAACTCTCTCTCTGTTTACTCGTCAGCAGCAACACGGGCCGCTGTCGCCAATCGATGGCATGATTGGAATCGTCAACTCTCTCTCTCTCTCGCTACTCGTCGGCAGCAACGCGGAACCGCCATTGCTTCTATCTCTCTCTCTCTCTCTCTCTCTCTCTCTCACAGATTGACGACATGCAACATAGAATGAGAATGAGGGGTCAGAATGAAGGAAACATTTCTGGGGGACGAACCAGATCTTGTTCAAAAGACAACCAAATTTTTGGCGGAAAAAAGCTCTATTCTGAGAAGGTAAAAACCAAATTTTAACAATTTTGAATTTTCTTTTTACGTTGCATTTTGGCACTACCATTATTTACACTTTTTTTTACACATTTTTGTCCTGAAAAATTACCGGATGGATGGTTATTACTTTTTTCAATTCACCAAAAATCAAATTTATTAGGTTTTCAATATTAAAATATGAAATAAATTTCGTATATAATATTACAATTATAGATTATTTGACTGATTTTAAACAACATAATATAGTGTTGTCCATTAGTGAAGTTGATTGAGATAAATAAAACATGTGATGTATAACCCGGGCAGTTCGAGTTCTTTTAAAGAAAAAAGGTTAGAGTTTGACTCACCATTGGATATACTATTATTAAACATCACAGTGTTCACTTTTCTCAATGACTCTAATCAAGCGGATAGTTTAGCTTGTGAAAAAAATAGTATGTCAGTTATAAGTTATAACCAAAACGATATTTAATAAATGTAAACGCCATATCCATATAAAGAAGTGTGTAGCTCACTCAAATGGACTTTAAAGCAGTAAAATACATGACCCTTATACACGATAACATACTCGTCCCTTTTATACCACATGAATTATAACCTATGGCTTTATTCCAATTTTTGGATCAGTTTAAGTTATGCAATGGTGACATGGTTACATAAATAATTTACACGTCTTGGATGAAATTTGGTAAAATCATGGTCTAGCTAAATTCCTACCTAATTAGAAGAGGATGGTGTAAAGAAAGTTAGGTTGAAGGTTAGTGGGGGTTGTTTCTGGTTGGGACAAGTGGGAAAAGGGGAATGAAGGGAAGTATCATGGTCTTAAGGATCAATTCTAGTTTGCTGATTATGATGATAGCTTTGACGATGAATTCAAAGAAAGTTAGTGATGAATTATGTTTTTCCTTCTTCGTTTCTCATTTCACATATTGAGTTTGTAGGGGAGAATGGAATGATTTGTTTATGGATTGAAGAACTGATCATGAACACACCCAGGGGCGGAGCTAGAGCACCCCCCCCCCCCCCACCCCGAGAATTTTGAAAGTTACGTGTAAACCCGATTAGCTTCCTGAATTTTTCGTATTAACTATGAGTAAATTATTATATATGTAGTGTGCATAATAGTAACAAGAAAAGCAGGACAGTCTAGCGGACGGCAAGTGTTTGAATAACTTACAGGTTAGGGGTTCAAAACCTGAGGGTGCTTGCCTTTGCTTATTTTTTCAACTTTTAGTTAAAAAATGACTTAACAAGTATTCATTCCATAACCTAACTCCTTCAATTTAAAACTAGATCGATTAAGCTTTCAACTTCAATTTTTTTACAAAAACTTTTGTATATAATAAATAAATTGTTCTACAAATACGATATATCCAGCTCCAAAATCTAAATAACTATCACGTTAAATCATTCAACACTAATTACAAGACTCAATCATAGATAATGTGGATGATGGTCAAGGTAAAATCAAGCCGCAATGTTTTACTATTTCGAGTTTTGGTGGCATGAAACTCAAATTTGTCAGAAGTGTATATTACATGATTTCTATTATAATGCCTTTTTAGACTCGCACAAACCAGACTTATTTTATAACCCAAATAGTAATGAAAGTATACAATTTCACTAACCAAAATAATATGTCAACACATGGTGTTTAAACATGGCAAATTGACTGTATCACAACCACATAATGTGTTGAAAACATATTGTTCTGACAAAAGAGATATATCTAGTGAGTAGTATGGAAGGTTTATTGTTCAAGTGCATGATATGCACATGTAGATAGCTTTTTCATATAATATAGTCACGGTAAAGCCATTGACTTCTATACAAAAATTGTCGCCGTCTTCATTTATTTTGCTTTACTTCCTTAATTATTTTTGTTATTATCATCGATTCTTTTCTAACAGCTCTAAGAAGTCATGAGTTCCCTAGTTTTATTTTTTTGGTTAGTTTTATGTTTAATTGTTACAACATATGTATACAAAACGTGTACGTTTAAAGTATCAAAAAACCTGTACAGCATTGATGGTTAAAATAGGCTATTGTCATTACAAGGTCGCCTGTTCGGCTCTCCATATCGTCTTATTTTTTTTACCCACATCCATGTAACCATGTTTCAGCTACGCTTGTGGAACGACGTCGTCCTGGGGATACTCTCGCTTTAGCAGCGAGCACAAACGACGACGTTTGTCATGTCTCGTCGTCTTCCCTGGGGAGTAATTGGAGATAACTGTGGTTTTGATGGCTGTTGGGTTTTGATGATGATGGTGAGATAAATGGTTAGCTATGGGGTAGTTTGGGTGAACAGATGATGACGATGGCCTTTTGGAT